ATAATAATTTCTTAGGCCCCTCCTCGCAGCAGGACTTGGGGAGCAGGGCACTATGCAGCCCAGCCACGAGAAAACGAGCCGTTTTCCTCTCAAGCAGATATTTTCTGAGCAGTAACGGGCTCTGGCCCCCCCGGCAGGGTGTGTGTGACCTGTTACTCATCCTACGGAAGAGCTTCAACCTCCGAGCATCGTTCAGCAACAGCACCGACATGTTTCCCTTCCCCACACAGTGTGGTGTCCCCCCGGGGAGAAAAGGTGTGGTGGCAGGGGTCAGTCGTGCCCACAACGCCCATGCCAGTGGCGGGGAACTGAGGGGAGCCCGGCCTCCCCACCATGCCCTTTCTAGCCTGTGAAACAATCACTGCTACCCCAATGCAGCTGTGGGGTCACCCCAGGGGGGTCTCGGTGGCCCCAAGACAGGAGGAAGAAGCCCACGAGAGCATCTCGCCCAGCCCCAGTGAAGGGCAGCGTGATGAACCTGCCAAGAGCGAATGTGAAGCTGCCACGAAACCTCTGAGGCCAGGGGATCATATCGCTCCTTCTCATGTTTCTTTTAAGGAGGAAGCGCAGCTCCCAGAGGCACCCAGGTCCCCGCACCCGCGGCCTGGGAGGCACTTTGGGGGGCAGGTGGGCGGCCCCTCCTCACCTCACATGCCCCAGGGGCAGCAACTGCCAAGAGGCACAGGGTTGAGCAGCCCTGCTGCAACAAGGCATGTGCCCTCCCAGCACGCTCCCAGTCCTTGAGAGCACCCCAAAACCTGCTGGCCTCGGGTTGGGGGGGGCAGTGCTGTCTGGGAGACGTGCTTCCTGTTACTGGGGTGCCCTGGCTCGAGCTCAGTTTCCCAGGAGCCAAAGTTGGGGCTTCCCTCCCAAAAGCCAACTTCTTCCCCACAAGGACAGGTCCTCAGGGCAACACTGCTCCGAAGTGCCACCTTTCTGGGGAGAAAATCTCAGATGGAAGAGGAAGAAATGTCACGTAATCCAAGTCCATGCAAGGCAGTTGCGGCACCAAAGGCTGCACACATCTCCCAGGGGAAAACTCCTCTGCCACGTCTCTGCAGGACAGGGTCCAGCAGGGCACGGCGCAGGCAGCCCCTCCAAACTCACGTCTCCCAAAGCAGCCCTGGCGTGGATGCACTGTTTTTTCATCCATCCCTTTTGCAGCCCCTAACCCCCTCCTGGCCACACACCCACGTAGCTCCTCCAAACCCAAGCAGGGTTTCTGGCCTCCCAGCTTCCCTGCCCGCAGGCTGCCCTCCTTCGCAGGGCTGTGGCACAAACCAGGGCCCAAATTATTCGGTCCAGGCCAGATGTGGTCACTGCTCTGTGAGCACGTCCGACAGCTGAAGCCACACGTGCTGCCAGGGTCACCTGAGGTCCAAGCCCTCAGGCTCTTTAAGTGATTTTTCATCCCCGCCTGCCATTTCATTCCCTTTAACCGGCTATCACGCAACTCCGACCCGCAGGATAAGCCATGAGTTAGCACAGCTTTCTCTCAGGGGAACGTCAGCCTCAGTCCTATTTTTAAACTGGATATATCCTATCACCGCGCTGGAACAATGAGAATGCAGAGGAAAGGATGGAAAAG